TGGTTTGAAATTTTTTGGACAGACTTTCAGTCACAGTTGACAATATCAGAATGTGATACAGAAAGATCTGGTCCTGGCAAAACTGAAACAGCTGGTGGTGAAGCACCGTCACAATCAGAATTGAAACCTTTTGGACCTGGAGAGACCAGATCACAGTAGAGGATGGTGTATTGTTACGAGGAGCAAGAGCGCTTGTCCAGGGCAAAGGTTGCCACCAGATATCAGCTGAACACCACCAGGGTCATCCAGGGGTTTCCAAAATGAAGATGTTGGTGAGACGTTATTTCTGGTGGCCAGGCTTGGATGCAGACATAGCCGCATTAGTGGAGCAGTGCCCAGAGTGTCAACAAGGACAAAAATTACCACCAGCAGCTCCCCCACATTTATAGGAATGGCTGGGTAAACCCTGTACTTGGTTACACGTCGATTATGCAGGTCCTTTCACAGGCTCAATGTTCTTAGTCAATATGGACGCCCACTCATAGTGGTTGGACGTATGTGGAATTCATTCATCAAACACAGGGACAACGATAGAAAAACTGCGCGCATCTTTTGTAATACATGGACTCCCAGAAGTGTTGGTCGCATATAACAGGGCGTTGTTTACCAGCAAGGAATTTGAGTATTTCCTAAAGTTGAACAGTATTCAGCATATAAAGGACAGCTCCATACCATCCATCATCCAACGGTCTGGCAGAAAGAGCAGTCCAAACTCTGAAGGCAGGTTTAAAGAAACAATCTTTAGCTTCATTAGATACAAAACTGTCCCGGTTCCTATTGATTATAGGATCACCCCTCATGCATCTACAGGGATAGCTCCAGCAGAGTTGTGAATGGGTAGAAGACTTCTCACCAAGTTAAATCTGATCTTCCTGGACCTGGGGGGTGGGATGAAGGGTGAAACAGCATCAGGAATGCCAATGTCGGACACAAGACTCTGCTAAGTGAGAGAACAGTTTCCTTCAGGGGACAAAGTTTGGTGTAGGAACCGTGGGAATAGCCTTGCATGGGTAAGAGGCATGGTTTACACGAGATCAGGTCCAATGATGTATAAAGCTTGGGTAGGTGCAACCGTCCTGAACAAGCACATGAACCATATGAAAGCTGCAAACGGTGCGGTAACAAAATCCTCAACAGCCTTCTCGACTGTTCCAGAACCCATTCGTTCTCCGTCTCTGTCAAGCATTGATGATACTTCAGAATCTGAGATGGACATGGCGAATGTCGCTGCCTCAACGCCTTTGTCACCTTAAGAAGAGAATTAATTTCTTACGAGACGCTCTAGCTGCAAGAAGCGAGGTATTGTGTGTTACACACCACCCGTATAAGAGGCAGAATTGGAGAAACCTTACCCGGTGCTAAAGAGCCCCAGGAGGAGCTACAAATAAAGGAGAACCGGTCTATGTCTCCAGACTCTGAGGAGGGATGTAATGATTGTAACAAGATCAGCCAGGTGTACCGCATAGAATATGAGTTCCCTGATTGCACCAGATTAACAGCCTCAATTAGGGAGCCCTGGCTGACAGATAAGAACAGGAGTATTGCCGCTGGGCACCAGGGTTCCCCAGTGGAGGGCCCTCTATGTGGGAGTCCTCCCTCTTTCCCTTGGGGACCTGGGGTGTAGGGTGTTGCATGCAGTAGTCCTTTACAATTGCAGGTTACAGTGAATTGCAGACTCCCAGCCCAACTGCTCATTTTGCAGTGCTGTGGACCAGATATATATTGGTTGAGGGCATGTGCACTCCCTCTTCAGTTATTTGAAAAACCTTCTACTATGTATTTGCTGTACTTCAGCACCTGATGCTGAGGGGTGTGGGCAGATTGGAGGATCTCTTCATGGGTCTGCTCCTGGGCCTGGCCAGGCTGGCTATAAACAGGTCCAGGCAGCGGACCGCGGAGGGGATTATCTATGCTGACTGCCTGACCCTCTTCCATGGTTCTGTTCAAGGCTGGGTGTCATTGGATAGGGAGCACGCGGCGTCCACCAGTGCTCTCGATGCCTTTTGGGAGAGGTGGGCACTGTGTGGGATGGAGTACTTTATTTCCCCCTCCAACTCTATTTTGATTTAGTCCCTTCCTTCCCTCCCCACCATCACCACCCCCCTCTTCACTTTTTTTCACATAAGCATAGCCCTTATCAGGCTTTGCTTGTTATAGGGGAGGCGATGGCCTAGTGGTATTATCGCTGGACTGTTAATTCAGAGACCCAGATAACGTTCTGGGGACCAGGGTTCAAATCACACCACGGCAGATGGTGGAATTTGAATTCAATAAATATCTAGAATTAAGAATCTAATTATGACCGTGAATCCATTGCCGATTGTTGGGAAAAACCCATCTGGTTCACTAATGTCCTTTAGGTAAGGAAACTGCCATCCTTACCTGGTCTGGCCTACATGT